AAAAGATTTAAAGCAAATTTCCCACCTCTTCCCCCCTCATTTGCAGCTTTTAGGCCATTTAACCTGCTTCAATCTCCAAAATATATATTATATTTTCAATTGGTAAATAAATACAATTGGTATTTTGGACTACCTGGTTAGCATGAAAAGGGTTATATGAGCTAATTTTCCTTGTATGAGTACATCTTTGTAAAAGTAAATTTCTACTAAAATGGAAACCATTTCTGTCAATTGAGCCTGTCACTAAAAGTAGTTTTTAAGTGGTTAAAAAACTTTGATCAGGTAAAGGAAACAAAAGTGAAAATGAACTTTTGGGACTTCATCAAGATAAAAGCTTCTGCAGAACAAAGGAAACAGTCAACAAAACAAAGAGGCAATTCACAGAATGGGAGAAGATATTCGCAAATGACACTACAAAGGGCCAATATCCAAGATCTATAAAGAACTCCTCAAACTCAACACCCAAAAAACAGATATTCATGGCAAAAAATGGGCAGAAGACATGAACAGACACTTCTCCAAAGAAGACACACAAAAAAATGTTCATCATCATTAGCTATCTTGGAGATTCAAATCAAAACCACACTGAGATACCACCTTACACCAGTTAGAATGCCAAAGATTAACAGGACAGGAAACAACAAATGTTAGAGAATATGTGGAGAAAGGGGAACCCTCTCACACTGTTGGTGGGAATGCAAGTTGGTGCAGTCACTTGGGAAAAGAGTGTGGAGACTCCTCAAAAAATTAAAAATAGAGCTACCTTAGGAGCCTGCAATTGCACTACTGGGTATTTACCCCAAAGATACAGACGTAGTGAAAAGAAGGGCCACTTGTTCCCCAATGTTCATAGCAGCAATGTCCACAATCACCAAACTGTGGAAAGAGCCAAGATGCCCTTCAGCAGACAAATGGATAAAGAAGATATCGTCCATATATACAATAGAATATTATGCCTCCATCAGAAAGGATGAATATTCAACTTTTGTATCAACATGGACAGGACAGGAGGAAATTATGCTGAGTGAAATAAGTCAAGCAGAGAAAGTCAATTATCACATGGTTTCACTTACTTGTGGAGAGGATATTAGGAGAAGGAAAGGAAAAAATGAATTGGGGTAAATCAGAGGAGGAGATGAAGCATGAGAGACTCCTGTGGACTCTGAGAAACAAACTGAGGGTTTTGGAGGGGAGGGGGGATAGGGAGATGGGTGACACTGGTGGTGGGTATTAAGGAGGGCACATACTGCATGGAGCACAGGTGTGGTGCATAAACAATGAATCCTGGAGCACTGAAAAAATAAAATAAGAAAAAAAAAAGATACATTAAAAAAAACCTTGATCAACTTTTAGAGAATGTTACTGTTACTACCATCAAATTTCTATGATAATGCTTTAAGAAATGCACTACCACTGCACTACCCAAATGTACCAAAAAAATTGCCCTAATTTACCAGTAAAATGATTCCTTCAATCCCTTTCTCCTTTGCTTCTCTGACCTATGTCCTTCAAAAAATTCTCTCTGGGGAGCAGAAGAGTGCAAGACACTCTTAATCTCAGGGTTCAGTCTGAGCCCCATGTTGGGTGCAGAAATTACTTAAAAAAATAAAATCTTAAAAAAAAAAATTTTTTTAATTCTTCTTTAAAAATTTCCCAACGAGGGGTGCCTGGGTGGCTTAGTGGGTTAAAGCCTCTGCCTTCGGCTCAGGTCATGATCCCAGGGTCCTGGGATCAAGCCCCACATCGGGCTCTCTGCTCATCAGGGAGCCTGCTTCCCCCTCTCTCTCTGCCTGCCTCTCTACCTACTTGTGATCTCTGTCTGTCAAATAAATAAATAAAACCTTAAAAAAAAATAAAAAAATAAAAATTTCCCAAAGAACCAATTTTTTTAATGCTATCTCTCCAATCTTTTCATCCCTTTCTTTGGGATCCTTTTCATCCTTTCTCCCCTTTGATTCTCTGTCCATATTCGCCTTCCTCTTACTTCACTTCTTCTTAGCTCATTTGCTTCCACAAGTTCAATGAACATTTCTACACTGGTGAATCCCCAAGAACATTTCAGCCCTCATCTCTGACCAATCTCTGATCCTGTGTTTCCAGCTGCCTTCAGGATAGGTCTATTTGAATGACTTAATACTCTATTGGAATTCAAAACTTCTAGTTTCTCTATATCCTCCCAATCTCGCTATTCCTAATCTCATAGTAGGGACATCTAATTCTCCTAAGTAATCCTAACAATTTCAAATCCTCACCATATTGCCAACCACAAATCCGGAATCAATTAGGTTGCCTGCTTTATTTCATTGCAGGATGCTAAAATGTCACGGAAAATAGCCACATACAAAAATTATGATGACTGTTTTGAATACAAACTGAAAAGTTCATAGTATTCTTTTTTTTTTTTTAAGATTTATTTATTTGAGAGAGTTGGGAAGGGGCAGAGGGAGAGGGAGAGAGGATCCTTAAGCAGACTCCCTGCAGAGTGCCGAGCCCAATGCCGGGCTCCACCTTAGGACCCCGAGATCATGACCTGAATCGAAATTAAGAGTGGGCAGCTTAACCGACTGAGCCACCCAGGCACTCTTGGGGTTCACAGTAGTCTGTAAGTAAATGTACTGTGGTTCACTCTTTCCCTACTGAACATTTGTTTCTAATTTTTCAGTATTAAAAATAAAATTACAATGTTCATTAATACAATTCTTTTCATGTTCAAAAATAACTCCTTAGTCTATCAATATAGAAGCAGAATTACTGGGTGATAAGGTATAAGGATTAAGATTCTTCATTAATAGTGACAAGCTGATTTCCAAAATAGTGCTATCATAAAATATTAGCTCCAGGAGAACAGGAATCCTGTCTGTTTTGTGTGTATTACAAGCACTGGTAATACAACAATACACAGCAAACAGTACATGCTCAATAAATTTTAGTTAAATATATGAATCAATCATCCAATAAGCCCTATGAAAGTGTTTACCCATACTAAGAAACAATCCTTTCAATCCCTGCTCTATTTTCCACTCCCCTTTAAGAATGGCCATATCAACCTTCAACCAACAAAATATGAGCAAAAAGGACAAGAGATATTTTCAGGCATAAGCTTTAAGAGCCATTTGCCATGTCCTTTTTCCCTGTGACAGCAACCAAAACAACAGATAAATGTTTCTCTTCATGTAATTATTATTTATCATTATTATTTTCACATAGTAAAGAGTAAAGTTTCTTTTCCTTGAAATGTACCCTTTTATAAAGCACAAAGTTGCAGATAATGCCCTTAAAAAGAACTCCATGCAGGGAGGCCCTTTGATAGGAGCATTACAGGTGTGGAGTCCCAGTCCTAAGAAAAAATACGGAGCAGTAAAGGAAGCTGCTAAAGTCAGAAGGCATCCTTGACTCTGCTTTGAGATCAAGCTGACTTTGAAAATCAGAGAATACTTTAATTCAGAGAATTCCAATAACGTTTTGCTAGATTTCAGTGAAATAAAAACGCTTCATAGTGCAGCTCAAAGATAGTTTTGTTGCAGCTCTAGAAGCCCCAAAAAAGCATCAAGAAACCAGGCAACGTGCCTTATTTTAAAATTCCTATATATGGGCTGAAATGCACCCATGCATAAGGGTAGAGGAGATAAAGAAGAGAAGGTAACCAGAGCCTCAGATATAAAATATAATTCAACTTGATATATTTTAACTGCAATAAATAAACCAAACAAAACAAATGTATGAAGATCTGGGCATGTAATTTGAGTTTCTGTAGAAATTTGAACCGTTATGATCTAAATCCCATTAGATAAAGAATATATTTCTTTTATAGCTAAACACATTGGTATTTAAGAGTTTTAGTGTGACTTGAAAGACCTAAAAGAATTTAGAGGAAGTCCAAATGGAAATGAGAAGCAAGTTTAATGCCAATCAATTGGCATTTCACAAAGGTAGAAGACCAGGATATTTTCTTATTGTTTCATTTGTATTACATAAGTAAGGGTGTTTGGGGGAGACTTTTAAATAAATGTTTGCTTTTTTAATTTTTTTAGGTAGTAAAAGAGAAAAGGTTAACTAGGAAAAGGAGGGAATGACAGCAGTCATCTGCAAATTTTGCAATCCAGAGGAATCGAGAATATCCTTCTTTGATATTATTTGTTCTTATACTTAGTTCCCACAATACCATAAATGATTACAGTCAAGTAGTATGATCATCTAAAACCAAATATAGTGTTGTCATGCTTTTATCACAATTCAAGTTCACTATATTTTTCCCATCATAAACCTAATTCATGGTCAAGGTAGAAGATACAAAGTACCATAAGCCACAGACAAAAGGGGGGAAATACCACTTCCAAAACTGTGATCTACATGAATCATGACTTCATATTCTGGTATATGGCATATTTCCCCCGTCGTATTTTTCCCAGAGAAGTTTTTGCTCGTTCATTTGTTTCTATATATTTTAATTCTTCTTTTTTATTATGAAACACAACAACATAAGCTTTTACTCATGTTACCTCAATCTATTCACAGGCTTCACTTTAATACAACATTCCATCAAGTGAGCATTTCGCAATTTATATTTTGCCTAGTGCTTGCCTTCAATTTCTTTTACCATCATAAATAATTCTGTAAAGGACATATTGGGCAAAAAGTTTTTCCTGTATTTCAAATTCTTTTCTTCGAATATGTTCCTCAAAATTGAACTACTACATATCAAAAATGATAATCAAAATTAAAAGGCAATATGATTTCTGGATTTGTAACAAACTAATACAGGGCAGGGAAGTGGATGGGAAGTACAGATGAAACAAGATGGTGCATGTTAAAAATGTTTTGAATAAGATGTTCGAACAAAAATAAAAAGGAGACCACATTCCAAAAATATGAATTTTTTTTTCATTCTAGCAAAGATGGATGTTTAAGGCTCTTGATGCACATTGCCAGACTGCTTCCCTAAGGGCTGTAATCGTTTTTAATCCCAACATAACCTGAAGGTTTATTGTGAAGGCTTCTTTACATCCTCTTTTCTTTTGAGTCTTTGTTTATACATTGACTTTGGCATGTGTCTCTAACCTCCTACACATTTTTTCTATCGAGATAGTTTTCTGAGTTTTTACTTGATTCTAGACACTAGCAATTGCTTTTATATGCTCTGTTCATCATGGAAAGATGACTCCACTCAGAACAACAACTGGATAACACAATGATTTATCTAAGGGGTATTTATACATTGTTGTTTACAAGGCAAAACTGTATCATAGTATTGTTTAGCAAAAGTTAGAAGCAATCATTACTGTATCACTTCCAGGGGCTGCACAGTATTTCAAAATGTAGGCTACAAAAATGTTTGTGTGACATAATTCTGCCTTGCATATATTATATACATACCCATATGTACACACACACGGAAAAGAAAAAACCCTAGAAGTGCATATACTAATAAAAATGGTATCCTCTTAGGGGGTTGAAATTACCAGTGATTTTTATAAACATCTTTATTCATATGCCTTAATTTTAATAATAAACATTCTAAATGTATATTTTTTTAAATTCACAACTAAAGTAACTCTCAACATATAACCAATCATTAACCAAGTCAATCTAGCCTCAATTATTTTCTGTGGACCCTACCTCCCCTATTGAAAGTATGCTAGGAAAATACAAACATAGAGCCAAAGGGTTTAACTTTTACTACCCAAACTACCTATCATTCAAAAGGTCAATAAGACCTGTCACTCTTGCTATAACTGGATCTCTGACCCCTATTTGGCAGTACATCTTAGATCCTCAGGAGTTTTATGTCCTTATAATTCATTTTTGATGACTTCACTGTCAGTCAAGATTTTGATATTCATCACTCCCCCCAGCCAGGCTACTCCTGGGTTGATGTAAGACACCACTCTCAACTCACTACCCCAAATTTTATTTAGGCGTTTGAAAGTTACCAAACCCTTCCTTTAGCCAGGGAAATGGCACTTTATAGTGATTTTCACCCCCAAATGTGTATACTTGATTTTGCTTTGCTTTGTTTTGTTTTGTTGGGGGGGGTGTTTTTTTAATTTAAATTTAATTAGCCAACATATAGTATATCATCAGTTTCAGATATAATGTTCAATAATTCATCAATTGCATACAACACCCAGTGCTAATCACATCACCTGCCCTCCTTAATGCCCATCACCCAGTAACCCCACGGCGGCGGCGGCGGGGGGGGGGGGGGGGTATTGTGTTTTTTTTTTTAGGCAGGCCCCATACCCAGCATTGAGACAAATACAGGGCTTGAACTCATAATGCTGAGATCGAGACCTGAGCTAAGATCAAGAACAAATTATTAAGATCAAGAGTTGGATGCTTACCGACTAACCCACCCAGGCACCCCTATGCTTGATTTTGTTTGTCGGGGAAACAGATGCTGTTTGAGCTCAGACATCACTCAAAAAGGACATGAGAAAACACCAAATTTAGTAGCTTTTTAGGAATGGGTAAGGAGCTGTGGAGAAAACCTGTGAAAAGAAAATCTTACGGGTATTTGGAAACTGTAACCCTTCTTTTTAACTTAAAAATAAACACAAGCCTTTAAAAAAAAAAAAATGCCCTTACTCGGCTTAGCAGAACATAACTCAGCTGCAACAACTATAATGAACAAAAAGTGAATATTGTTACTGTATAAAACACGTGAGATACATTAAAACGTACTGCATGTGTCTAATTGAGAGTAGTAGCTGTAGAGTTCATTGTTATAAGAGCACACTGACTGCCTGGTTAAACGACTAACTGGCAAAAAAGCTGAATGACCAAGAGCACAGCTCGGAGGGAAAAAGGCCCTGGTCTGAATCCTCACTCCAGCATTTCGTGGGTGACCCTGGGCAGGTTAACTCATCTGTGCATGCATAGTTTCCTCACTGTACGGTAACACTTCTTAGCTCACGCAGTTACTGGGACAATTAATTGAGGTAATGTATATAAATCATTTAGAACAATCACATAGTAGGTCCTCAGAAACTTGTAGTCCTAAAATTTCCAACTCTATCTATCGTTGAGAACTATATACAGTTCTACCAAAGACGGAATTGGTTGTAACAAGAGTAATTTTGTTGCAGCAACAGTTTTTGGCTCCTTTCCTACTACTTGCATGAGTCACGCTGCTTACACTCACTTAAACACACACAGTACAGGTGATTTTAGAGAATAATTTTTCAATGATCCCTGATGTTTACCTTGGAGATAATATGCCAGATCCCAAGTTCATGGCTGGATTTGTTTAGAATTACAAAGATGAGAAGGTTAATTACCATTTTAAGCATGATGATTGGCCATTGCCTTGTTTTCCTTTTGAGAAAAGGGCAAAACATTCTTACTAAATATACAAATATTCCCGTTGACAATTTATTCATTGCTGTTTATGACCTCTAGTTTTCTTTCAAATCAAGCAATTAGATTTTAAACAAACATTCATGAAATAGAAGCAAAAACCACTTCCCTTGACATATTTAGTACTTCCTAAAGGTCTCCCACAAGTAACACCCTCCAATTAATATTTATTCTCTTCCTCACAGCATCGACGACAGCATAGGCTGCCAAAGGGAAGCCAGTTGCCAGCTAAGGCATAGGAGGATAACAACAATGGGACTTAGCCAGGTAAAAAAATATGTTACATTATAAAAAATGAATATCTCATCCAACTGAAATATGTTAGAAGAATTAAGAAGCCAGGAGACAACCAATTGTAAAAATATTAAGAAACAGGTAACAATTAAAATCATTCTTTCTCAGCCCAACTAGATCTACTAATTGCCAGCGTTACTTTCTACTTATATTAGTATTACCTCAGGGAATCTATTGTTTTCCTACAAAAGCCAGCCAAGCTGCACAGCTTAACCAAGGTATTTCTCGTTATTAGATTTCAAGTATAGAAAGCTTATCTGTAAATAATGCATATGTCATTCATTGTTATCAGGATGTCATTAATCTTGTTGCTCAGGAACTGAAATTATCTCTACAGGGATTCTTTTACAGAAAAACCAAATAAATCTACTTATTAACCTACCTCCTATAAATACCACATAAGTAAACCACGTACTTGACCATTTGCTATGGGTAGAGGAGTGCTGTCAGGACATGCTGACCACACTTCATGACTAGTATCTTCCACAAACCATCAAGAAGCCTCAAGTTTCATCACTAAAATAAATTTCAGTCTTAAAGGATTTCAGAAGAGAGGGAAATACAGAAGAGAAAATCCAGAGTTAGAAATGGAAGAGTCATTTAGGATTTATATGCCACATAGGAAGAGAACAAATGGAATCAGCACAAGTTTTAAACAGACTCGTTATCTCAGTTCTGTTGAAAAGAACTCAGGAAGCAATATGGAAAATGTATCAGAGAAAACAGAGTCAAAGAAAGACAGATCATGGGGGATCTTAGTGAGGGGACCTGAAATGAAACATTGCAAGAAAGAGAAGAGAGAAATACTGAATACATATTTCACAGGTGGACCCCAAAAGATTCTGTATCTAACTCTACGTAGATGTCTCCCACTGTGACTTGTGACTAAATACAGTAATGTCAAAAACCAAAATTATACACAGAGGGAGAGAATACGTTTGGTATGGGAGAGAAGGCCGCGCTGTGTTGAAAAAACGCACATATCAAACAAATATCATCATAGAGATATACCCAGTAGACAGCTAAAAATTAAGGTAAGATGCTTAGGAAAGAAGTCAAATAGGCAAGAAGTCAAGGACAGTGAGCAAAGAGCAAAGAAAACTGAGAAAGTAACTAGCAAAATAGAGAGCTCAAAAAAGAACCAAGAAACCATGAGTGTAGTATATGACAAGGGACAAGAAAGTTTCAAGGAGGAAGTATATACAGTGTCTGGTTCTGCTAAGATATCAGGAAGCAGTAGTATTGTGACCATTGTATTTAAACATTGAGAAGGTACGGGAATTGTTCCCAAGGAGTTTCTATGGAGTACTTAAGATCTAGATCTGATTTCAATGGACTGAAGGAATAAATGAATTAGAATTAAAGAGAATTCACAGACTACCCTTTCTAGAAGTTTGAAAATAAAGAAAATGTACGAATTTGACTGAAAATCATGACTGATTCCAGGGACTGCAAGTCTCTGTTACTATTGGGTAGAAGAGTGATGAAAACAGAAGGAAATACAGGTAATTCTAAAGTCCTAAAATTTGATATGGGGATCCAATGACCTCAGCTACACTGCCCATTACATTAGCCATGAGCCTCAGTTTGTCTGCTGAGCACTTGAAATATGGCTCCTCCAATTTGAAATACATTCTGTGAAACTCATACCAGATTTTCAAGACTTAGTATTTCAAGATTTAGTATTTCATAATATTTTAATATGAATTACATGTGCAAATAATATTTTGGATAAATTGAGTTAAATAAAATTTACACCTAAAATTAACTTCTCCAGCTTCTCTTCACTTTGTTAACGTGCCAACTAGACTTTAAGAGTACCTATATAGCTCAGGGGAACCTGGGTGGCTCAGTGGGTTAAAGCCTCTGCCTTCGGCTCAGGTCATGATCTCAGGGTCCTGGGATAGAGCCCCACATCAGGCTCTCTGCTAGGCAGGGAGCCTGCTTCCCTTCCTCTCTCTCTGCCTCTCTCTCTGCCTACTTGTGATCTCTCTCTCTCTGTCAAATAAATAAACAAAATCTTTGAAAAAAAAAAAGAGTACCTATATAGCTCACATTATATTTCTATTGGACAGCCCTGATGTAGAGAATGAATATGAGATTGGAAAAAGAGCAGGATCAGAAAGGCTCCGTAAAAATCGGCCCTTGTGTATGTATCACATTAAGGCTGAAGTTTCTAAAGAGGACACCCAGGAAAACTTCATGATTGTGTAGCTGAGGAAGCTAAGGGCCTAACTGATTTGATGGCTTACTCAGGTGACCTGTCTCATTAGAAGGAAAACCCAGAGGAGAACTCATCTAGGGGTTTGCCTCTATTATTTCACTTCTTGAGATGGCAGTGAAAATTTAACAATTTGAGTTTTAAAAATTATAGTAGCTTAAGTATTATGTACACCTCATTCTATACCACATCCAATAAAATGCCTACTTATAATAAAAAACATAACCTCTAAACATATTAAAATCATGACCTCAATAAACATTCAGTTTCCTATGTGCTCTAGCCAACCTATGATACAAGAATTTAAGGTACGTCAACCCAGGATTTGTTTTGCTTTTGTTTTACTTTGGATATATATACACTCTGAATTTATTTCAACCTAATCCCTCACTAATTTTAAAAACAGCATCACACCTTCAAGTATATACTGCTTGAAAAACAGTTGTAAGAAAACATATTTGAACAATTTCAAAGACTTTACTTCTTAACCAACTGAGCCACCCAGGTGCCTCAAAGAATTTACTTCTTAACTATTGTGCCATTACCTGCCACTTGCAAGTAGTAACTCACTAAGACTCCATTGTGTGCCTAAGTACAACATTCTAGCAAGTTAAGAATGAGAAAGTTCATAGTATTGCTGTAGTATATGATCATATACCATATTTCAATTTCTGGTATCATTTCAAGACTTGTTCTCCCAATGAAACCTTCAAAGCTCATTCAAGGACTAAATAGTCAAAGGTTAAAGGTCAACCTCAGTTTCAGGATCACCAACAAAATTATAACCAACCAAAATCTCTGGCTGTAATTTCTTGAATACTCCAAGCTATTGTAAATCTACTTACACATCTTATGTAAGAAAGGGCACATTAAGAAGGGGGCGAGGAGGAAAGGAATGACATTTATGACATTTCCTTTTCATGCTAATTTTCCAGGCGATAATTGAAAAACAAACATCACTTTAAGCTCTATACAGTACTTAATTTTGTGAGATAGCTTAATAAGCTAATAACTGCCAAAATCATGATAGTTATTTTCTTTATACAGTTATTGCTCCAAAATACAGAGCTGGAAAATGAAAAATGGATTATCTGATAAGACAGCATGTTTATTTTATTCTGTATACCCACCCTGTATTTGTTTTAACAAATAAAACTACTGTTGGTATTCCAGAATGACATTATGGAGAGTGACAGAAATGAAGAATCCTAGCCCCCATTTCTTGAATATCTGCTGCTATCTCAATGTATCACACAGATAAAAGGCTGATGTGAACCTAGCATGGAGTTAGGCACACACGGGGTGACTGAGCACTTCAAAGCAAGTTTTCAATTTTGATCTACATGTTTTCAATTCTTTCCCTTGTTGGTTGTGGCCCCTGTCAAATAACTGCAGTTTGTGCTCTCATCCATTTCAAAGCTATTCCAGTGTGGACCCCAGAGGGCAGCCTGCCCATGGGTTGCAGTAATCTCCTAAAAGTACAGATCCAGGCGTCATTTAAAGCCGAGCGGCAGAACATCCTTAGAAGAGTTTTCCAGTTTTCCCTCATTGTATGTGCCATGTAGCTTACTGCATAGTAGGTACTAAGGGTCCCACAGTCATCCATTCTTCACAAAGCCTAATCCAGCATGGTACTACAGAGCACCACTCTCCTTCAATGCTGGAAGGCTGCATCACAGGGCTGGGCATTTTTATGTCAGCCGACTTTATTTTAAGAGTAACTGACTTAATAGGGAGGGTGGGGAGGTTGCATAAGGATCAGTAGTAGACTAGGTATCAGTCTTCTACACATAACGTCCATCAATTTGATATTAAGCCTAAATCTGGTAGAAGGGGTTTTTTATTTCCTTAACTCTGAAGGCATCATGGAGATCAGGTCACTAAATTCAGGGACAGTCCCATTTTTCACTGTTAGTAGTGAAAAACCCAGCTGTGTTTAGGACTTCACTAGTACAGGTTAATACGGGATCTAGACATTGTCATGCTCATATGAGGCTAAGCTCTGACACCTTGTTCTAGATCAACAAACCTATTCACCACTTCCTCCACACAATTTTTCACGCTTGCCTCAAAATCTTCACACGTGCCATCTCTAAAAAACTCTCTTGCTGCTTCTCTGGTCAAGTACGTACCACCCCATCTTCAAAACCTAGTTTCAAATTCTCATCTATTTTTCTTTCAACTCCTCTTCCTTCAGGGATTCACTAATCTCAGTATCTTATTAATGACTGTTTGTAGGGTTCTATAAACTCATCACACACCACATGTCTTTGTCTCACCTCTACGTTGATCAAGGACACACAAGGGTAGAAACTATGCCTCCATTTCTGCTGTGCCATCTAACAACACTCACCACCAATGGTATGCGGTTCAACCATATCACTTAATTTAAAACAAAACAAAAACAAAAACGAAACCTTTTTTCAAAGCCCTGATGTGTAGTGTTCACCAATTTTCATAATACAAATACTCACACCATATAAATACTCACACTCATACAAATACTCACTGATTTCAGGTTCCCAACATGAAATCACTGAATGCAGTGTTGTGAAGAAATGCACACACTGACTTGGGAGCCAGTTCAAGACAATGTACGATGTTGGGCACAACTGCTTAATTAATGAATATGTAGTTTCCTTCCTAATATGCCCACCTGCCACAATTTTGACAAATCTCAAAAATACTTTTTTATTCAAGATACATTCATTCAGCAGAATCATTAAGTCCCACAAAAGGAGGTGCTTTTGCCTGTTTTCCTTACTGTTCTATCAGAGTGGCTAGTTCTATGCCCAGAGTAATCCCGTAGAAAATATTTGCCAGATTAATAAGTTGTCAACATTTTTAAATATAATAAAATGCTATATAAGTATCCATTAAAAGCTGTGATATGCCTCAAATTATAAAATAATTAACCTACACATGTGGAAAATAAAATAATCACAGAAAAAGTTGTCAAGTTAAAGGGCATGTTAGAAATTATTGAGTACAATCTCTTCATTTTATGAAAAAAAAAAAAAGAAATCCACAAAGTTAATTGACACACAGTCCCTTAGTGCCAGAGGTTAGCCCAGAACCCAGGATTCTTGGTGTCTTGTCCGAATCTTTTCTGAGTAGATAATCATGATTGCCCCTTGGGTTATTGTCTACTTGAGCTAACAACCTGTTGAGGAACTGCCATTATTTTGAAAAGCAGACTTTTTCATTGGTTTTCCACATTAATATACAATGCAGAACTACATTTAATATGATATCTAATAAAAGAAAAATCAAGGTAATTATAAGACTATCAGTGACCAGGAAAAAAGTCTGTAATTATAAAAGATATTTCTGTACCAATCTGACAACCTTTTTCTCTACATAGCATCACAGAAGCAGAGATTAGCCCAAATTCTATATTCATACCATCTTTAAGTTTGGAATCATCTATGAACTTAATTATCCTGATTACCATTCTATCTGATCATCAGTACAAAGGTCATGTAAAATTAGACCTTATATTGATTCCAGAAATGATTACCTAGATCTTCCCACAACTCAGAGGCCTAAAATAAAAACCATAAAAATAAAAATTTATCAACATCTTTATAAAATTTTAATAATTTCCATGTATATATAAATTACTGAGTCAATTTGAGAGAAAAAAATCTTTCTTTAGACAATATTTGGGATTTCTACCCATTTATTTTTTTAGTAAGACCTGAACTGAGAAACCCTTACAGAGATCCTAATTTCCTATACTGCATTTCTCTGAATGGTTCAATTAGGCTAGCAGCCTCTAAACATGTTTCAATTGTCAAACACAGAAGAGAATCCAAATTTAAAGAATTGATCAAGAACAAAAAATACATTATAGCTAAAATTACAGTATTTAATGGATTATGATATCGTTCTCATGAGAAATTACTTTCCTCCATTTCATTATTTGTTACCATTTAAAAATCTACACACAATAAATGTGTTTAAAAAAATCATATGACTCTGACAATAACTAAAAACATCACTACCCTCTATTTCTAGAGTAAAAGCGAGTATTCAAAGATAATTGCAGGAGGTTAAGTTCGTTAGCCAATATTCCCCTAACACCTAAGGCAGTTTTCTGATTTTTTTTTTCCAGTATGATCTTATTACTGCCTAATTATCCATATTGCTTTTCTTCCTTTTTGTTCAACTGAAATTCACTAAAGCAGTTTAACCTTTCATTTAGAATCATTAAATATACCCCCCTCCTTCACTGATAATTGGCCTCTTTATTAACTGATTTCCCCTCTTGATTTATTATAAATCTGTTTTGCCAAATTTGGATCCATTCTGTTAATACATTTTTTACCTTCCTTCTACTCAATTAACACACTGTCATGGGTACCAAAACTTTCCTATTATTTCTTCAAGTTCTTATTGCACTTTAAAGATCCACTAGTAGAGTAATGAATTTTTAATAAACCTGGAATATTTTAATGATTCTTCCTTAATTCTATAATGAGATTTACGTGAGACATACTACTCGCAATGAAATATTTCCTACTGTTTTGTCGTAACACTCTACAGTAACTTTACAGCAATCCAAATACGTAAATCTTTGCAATGTAACTAACTTAGGACCTCTAAAAGCACAAAAAAGCCGTATTATAATATCATATCCATAGCCAAATCCAACTGAGCCAGCTTCTCTGTCAGCAATTTCAACATCCATACAATTTTTAATAAAGTGAAACTTATATTTGTGGTGCCTTCAGTAAATATTAACATGACCTCGGAATGTGAATAAACCTGTCACTAGATTATGCAAGGAGTAATCTCTTATAATACAGGGCACCGAGGCTTCTTATTAATGGAAATAAACAGCAAAAAACAACAAGAGCAAAAAAAGGATTCCTCTTCCTTCCTAGACAGAAATGTTTCCCTGAGCTCCAAAGCACAGATAAAGTTTGGTGGCTGTTGCTTTAAGCCCTTTCCCTCTCTTATCAGCCACAGCCACATTTCCCAGCAACTGCCACCTCTAGTCACCAAAAACAGTGCCTTTCTTTATAAAAGGTAAAGAAAAATAGGAGGGTAACTACTGACCTTGGATCGAATAAGATTATGCTCAAGTTTTGAGATTCCTCCCACATTTCCGGGACCTGAATTATGAAACAGACTGTGGACTCTAGCATTTCTGGTAAGAGCAAGTGAACAGAGTGTTTACTAGTGGGAAGTGCATTGTAAGTTGACAAAACAGAGATAACCAAGACAAGATTAACTATTGGAGTCTTAAAAACTCAACTCCCAGAGTAAATTATAAGGACTAAAGAAATGTAAGATTTCTACAGGTTTCTTACTTTAAATAATTTTAAGCAAGGAAGAAAGGATTTTGCTCTCATCCTCCTATAAAACACCTGCCTGCCAACTTTTAATTTCTCCATTTTCAATCATTTCCGCCAAAGACATAATCTTAATAAACACAGATTCATTTGATGCTGTTGACCAAAAAAGTCTTGGTGTTCAAAGTCTCCTCATCCATTCTAAAACTTCTGTGTAAGGTACCAACATGGCTTCTTTTCTTCCAAAAATTTCCAGTTGGTTTTGACTCCAGCTTCAAAAGTATGCAAATGTCTGCATTTTTCTGATATTCTGAGTGATTGATTCTTATGTCCAGCTCCTCAAAACTATTGTCATGCAATCTTAAAATGAAAGAGACCTTAGAGATCGACTAGTCTATACTTCATAGTTTGCAGATGCTAAAACTGACACAAAGAATAAAGATAACCAGTTTGAGGTCACAAAGCCAGTTAACAAGTAATGCAGCTGAAGGAAAAACAAGATCTCCTAAAGCTTTGTCCTGTGTTTTGTGCCAGGAAATTCACAGGTAGAGACTGACAGAGTTGTTTTATGCAAAAGAAAATAATTTTTAATTAGTTAATTGAGTACCTAAATAAAATCAGTATTTACAAATGCTTATAAGAATCTTTCGTAACGGGGCACCTGGGTGGCTCAGTGGGTTGAAGCCTCTGCCTTCGGCTCAGGTCGTGATCCCAGGGTCGTGGGATCAAGTCCCACATCGGGCTCTCTGATCGGCGGGGAGCCTGCTTCCTCCTCTCTCTCTCTCTGTCTCTCTGCCTACTTGTGATCTCTTGTCTGTCAGATAAATAAATAAAAGATAAAAAAAAGAAAAGAATCTTTCGTAAAAGTTCATTTTCCTTTTCCATATGGTTTAGGAGTAGTATTAGAACTGTTTATAATTTTTAATTGCTTAATACAATTTTCTACTGCCACTATAGCAAATTAAAGCAAACGTGGGGGTCTGAAACAGCATCCATTCATTAACTCACCATTCTCTAGGAAAGTCTGGCCAGTCTGGGTGGGTACTCTACTTAGGGTCTCACAAGGTCGAAATCAAGGTGTCAGCTGCTCTGAACCCTTATCTGGAGAATGGGGAAGAATCTACTCCTGGGCTTATAAGGTTGTTGGCCAAATTCAATTCCATGTAGTTACAGGACTAAGGTCCTGATTCCTACAGGGGCCTCTGGCCAGAGGCTATGCTCAGCTTCTGGAAGCAGCACACTTTCCTCTGCTCAGGGCCCTAGAATCCTCAAAGCCAGCAACAATAACGCTTCAAATCCTTCCAGCATTTGGATCTCTTTGACGTTTTCCTCTACATCTCCCTCACTTCAGCCTCTGCTTTTAAAGAATCATGTGATTAAATTGGGCCTGGATAATCAAGGATAACCTCATTATTTTATGGTCAACTAAAGGTCAACCTTAATGACATCTGCAAAGTCCTTTTGGCAACGCAGGTCATATATTCATGGGCATGATATCTCATCATATTCACTGTCCTGGGGATTAGGGTACAGAATCTTCTTGGAGACCAAAATTCTGCCTACTATACTTAGCATCTATTTTATTACACAAACTTAAGGAAATGTGACTGGTTTGGGTTTTTTTAAGATTAATTTATTTTGAGAGAGAGTGAGACAGAGCACAGAAGGGGCAGAGGGAAAGGAAAAGGGAAAGAATCTCAAGCAGACTCCCCACAAGAACAGAGCCCAGCATGGGGCTCAATCTCACAACCCTGAGACCATGACCTGAGCTGACATCAAGATCAGATACAAGCAACTGAGCCACCCAGACGCCCAAGGAAATGTGAATTTTTTTTTTTTAAACAGATCCATATTGTTCACACTTAACTCTAACAAAAATATTACTTTTCACCTAATATTTATATATCTATCTCCAGTAATGGCTCAGATCAGCCCTGTTGATGTCCAATGCTGACCGCCTGCACCAATCACAGGGCAAGCTTCATAAGGAATTGACCAGTGCAGTCAACAGGGGTCTGAGGCTCAGACAAACCACAGTCTTGGGGTTTAATGCTCTTCAGCTGCTGTCTTAAAATTCCTACCACTTTGAATGTGTTTTATAAGTGAAGTCCAATAGGACAATAGAGCATATGCTGAGAGTTTGTTGTCTGAAAAGAAGGCTATTTCTCTTTCATTTTTGAAGAATAGTTCCTGTAGGTACAAAATTCTAGGCTGGAATTTTTTTTTCCCCCTTTAGCACTTTACAGATATCATTCAGTTATCTCCTGTCTCCCACCGGTTAAGAAGTCAGCTATCTTTTTGCTTCTTTGAAGATGATATGCCTTTTTTTATCTTCTCAAGATTTTCCTATTTTTCTTTGGCTTTCAGGGGTTTGACTAGCATGTGCCCTAAATGTATTTTTTCACTGTTTTTTTTTTTTCCTGATTGGGTTTTTAGTGCTTCTTGATTCTATATGTCAATGTCTTTCATAAATTATGGAAAATGCAGGGCACCTGAGTGGCTCAGTCAGTTAAGCATCTGTCTGCCTTTGGCTGAGGTCATGATCCCTGGGTCCTGGGATCGAGTCTTATATCCGGCTCCTTGCTCAGCAGGAAGACTGCTTCTCTTCTCTCTCTCTCTCTCTCTGACAAATAAATAAATAAAATCTTTTTTTAAAAGTTATGGAAAATACTTGGCCTTTATTTATATTGCTTCCTCTGTCCCACTCTCTCTCCTCCTCCTCCTCTTCTGCTACTCCAATTAGATGGACATCAACCTTTTTCACCATGTGCTACACATACCTCTTGCACTATTCATTGTATATCACAATCTTGTATCCCTCCATGCTCCAGTGTAGAGATTTTCTAACTGATCTTTCACCCTGTTCATGAGTCCTCTCCATGGCTGTATCATATTGGCTGTCAACCACATCAACTGAGTTTTTTTATTTTTAAGATTTTATTTATTTATTTGACAGAGAGAGACATAGTGAGAGAGGGGACACAAACAGGCTTCCTGCTGAGCAGGGAGCCCAATGAGGGGCTCGATCCCAGGACCCTGGGATCATGCATGACCTTAGCTGAAAGCAGATGCCTAATGACAGCCACCCAGGCATGCCCACATCAACTGAATTCTTATCTTCAGTTATCCTAATTTTCACTTCTAGAATTCATTTTGATTTTTTTAATACATTCTGATTCTCTGATGATATTGTCCATCTTTTCACCAATTTTAATATGCTGATTATAATTATTTTATAGCCCATATCTGATCATTCCAACAGCTAGATCACCATGAGATCTGTTCCTATTATTTATTGTTTTATTTTGTTTTTGTCTTGGTCCTGGCTTCTGACATGCATGGTGATTTTTTACTGAATGCCAAGTATTTGGCACAAAAACTTATAGAAACTCTGCATGATGTCTCTTGCTTCTGGCAAAGACAGGTTAAGTAAAGGCAGATCACATTAAAATCAGGATTGAGTTTATCAGAGGCTGCATCTCAATTTTTGTAAGTCGTGGTCTATTTCTAGTTCTCCATAACTCCTGGGATATACGTTCAAGGCTCCCAATTAAAAATATGGAGCATTTGAACAAGGTCCTGCCTTATCCTCCTTGAATTCTAGTTTGATTCACTAGGGGTATAAAACTGTCAAAGATTCTACTCAGCATCTCACTATCTTAGCTGCCACTCACAAGGTGCCACAAAGTGACAAATAACCCAAGATAAAAGGTGGCACTGAATACAGGGTGCACCTCAATGTGGTTCTCTTCACTCTGGCATCTTTGCTCTTTGACAGAGCCACGATGCATGTAGGTTGTTTTGTTTTGTTTTAATGCAGCTTTCTCATGTTTCTCAGTATAGGCCTTAGTTTGAAATAATCTAGTCCATCACAGATGAAAATGGAAATCAGATATTGATTGATCTTAGTAGCCTATCTTTATATATGTATCTATATCTTAATGGTTTCAGAAGAATTTAAAACAGGTTGGCCTGTTTTAATAAATATGTATTTAAATAAATATATATTTAAATAAAAATTAATAAATATGCATTTAAATAAACTATGTAACAGTTTATTTTTCTGAGTTACATTTACTGTTTGAAACTTAAATTGTCTGCTTCTCCAAAATAATTATTTTTTTGCTACCATTATTATTTAAGCTTACATTCAAAATGCTTCTCCCTAAGAGTTCAATCTGACTGATTACATATAATATGTAATGCTGTCCTGAAGTTTTGTTTTTTTTTTTTTAATAGAAGTTATAGTGTTCTCAGATACTGGATTTTTTCACAGTTAAAATAAAACAGTTACAACATAAGTAACTATTTACTATAAAACAGTTACAAACATAAGTACCTACTATTTCATAGAATGTTGCCTGTATAACTTTGTTCTTTGACAATTTCCCGTTATTGCTCAAAGGATATAAGATTTAGGAAATGAGTTGAGCAAAAGCTATGAATATCTCCTATAGTTGTATTACCATAAAATCTCAATAATTCAAAATTGAAATTTATGATCACTGAAACATTTCCTAGCTCAGAACTGAGGAAATATTTTGTTGCATAATTAAATGTATAACAACTGTGGAAGCAGTTTATCCTACTCAGAAAAGCAAATTAATATTAAAGACTACCTTAAAGGTACTAACTTGTTGTATGCCTACACAGGGCAGTTACAAAATGAGTTTAATCTATATCAAATACTAGCAATAAATAATAATAAATATTTATTATTTATTATTAAATAAATATTATTTATTTATAAATATTTATTATTACATAAACTATCTTATTTTTTAAAGTATCATTTGTAAATATACTTAGTAATGACTGCAAACTACAATGGGTAATTGAAAGTGCTGAAAACTAAATGTCTCATCAAAATTAACTGCAAAATGGATTTCACTGTCCACCATTTTCACAGTCAATTAATTTTAGAAGAAGGAGGAGGAGGATGAGAAGGAAGAGGGGGAGAAGAAGAAAAAGAAAAAGAAAAAAAAAAGATAAATTTTGCTTATGAAGCTTTCTTTGAAAGTCACAGTCTTTGTAACTTTGTCTTCCTCAAACATACAATATTACCTACAAACTAAGAAAAATATTTGGCTATAAACAAAACGACAAATTGGGAATGAGTACAGATTCAACAGATAAGCATCCACAATTACCTTCCTCCAGCTCAACAGATAACTGGCTTTTAATACAATTAGAGGTCATGATTCAGTATTGTCATTGCTCTGAGCATTTTGTTCAAAACCTGAATTTGTTTTTTTAGCAGATTAATTTACCTTGGTGGATTAAGGGATCTTTAAAGATTTACAAGCACTCAAGACACAAAGGAACTAGCACCTTTCATTTTTTCCAAAGGCTCAATTGTTTCATCTATTTCCCGGGCTGAAGTCTTTGCTCACATTCACTGCTAGAGAGGTAGCCGTCATAGCGGCCATCTGTCAGAAAACGGCAATCAGTTTAGCATGCCACAAACCAGCTGTAGAAATTGTATGCACACTATATGTTCATAATAATGTCTTATCGCTATTAACAAAGAGACTACATTTCATGAACCACTGTATCAGAAATTCATTACAGACATGGGAATGATATGATAGATGCCGAGATATTAGGGCCCACTTGACTTCTTTGCTGAGAATGAGTTAAGTGTCTTCAACCAAACCACCACAATACATAGAGGCATTAGAGTTTGAAGGTCAAGAATACAGGAGTTGATGAGAGGCACTTCAAAACTTTGCTTTTCCATTTACTAGCTGTATGTCCTTAAGCAACTTGCTTATCCTCTCTATACCTCACTGTTCTCATCTACAACATAGGAATAACAACAGTACCTATAGTTGGGGGTGGTTAGAATAAGGATTAAATAAAAATGAATATAGAACTCTTAACCCAGTGACTGGAAAACAACAGTCAATACATATTAAAAACTGTTATGGGGGTACCTGGCTGGCTCAGTTGGTTGAATATGTGCCTCTCGATCTCATGGTCATGAATTCAAGCCCCATACTGGACATGGAGTCTACTTAAAAAACAAACAAACAACTGCTGGGGATACCTTTTTTTCTCTCTCTCATAGACTGCATGTCTTTTTTCTTTGTCTTTGGACCTGATCACCCCAATACTCTTACCAATACAAAGTGTTTCACTATCTTGGGAAGTCTGCCTTTGCTTCACAGCAACTACCCCAGTATTGTTCCACCACAGACTTTAGGATCTCACACTAGCTGACCTTAGACACACTCCAGGAAAGCAGCAGTGGCTGATGGGAAAAGGTTTAGACACAGTGATGTCTGTCCAATAGAAACAGTGCGTGTCACACATTTAATTTTGAATTCTCTAGTAGCCACATTAAAAAAAAAAAAAAAACATTTAAGTTCATTTTAATAAGGTACTTTATCTGACTGCATGTACCCAAAATATCATTTTAACAAGAGGCAATAACCACTTCAGCTGCTCAACAGTCACATTGCCTGCTATGTCGAACAGGACAGGTTCAGAGTCAAGTGGACCTAGGTTCGCATTCTGGCTCTGCTATTCACTTGCTATTTACTTGCTAAATCTCATTTTCACTGTGTTAAAAATAACCATTTCCAGATACTGTTATGAGAATTAAGTAAAAGTGGCATACACAAAGTGCATAGCACAATGTCTGATATACAGGGGTATTCATAAAATGAGAATTTCCCTACCCTCATCTTCTATTCTAGAACTGAACGTGGGTTCAATGTAGTATCATCTATGAGCCAGCCTTAGTTCCTTCTCTTCCATCTGTACTATAAGCTTTAGCCTTTCCTCTACCTGCACAGCTCTCCCTCCTTGCTTCCTGGCAGCAGTAAATGTGACTGTGTGGACTTCGGGAAGCCATGAGTCTCTTAGTCATGACCCAAGTATGGGGTCCTTAGAAACCAAAATGACTTAGGTGAGAGCATTTCCTTCTCTGTCCCTATCTCATCTGCCTGTGGCTTTACCACTGCTACAGCTTCCCCAGCAAGTGCCATCAACAGCAATGCTTCCCCACTGGAACATACACTGACCTCAAAATTTCTAAAGGTAAAGATTTTTCTACAAAATAACTGGCAGAACCCTTCAAAAGTGTAAAGATCAAAACGGACAAAGAACAAATGAGGAACTATCACAAATTGGAGGAGACTACAGGCATTTTAAAAAATCAAAATGAAATATGAGATCCTAAATGAACATTTGTGGGAAAACTGGTGAAACTCACATAAGATCTGTGAGTTAGTTAATAGTATTTATTGTATCAAGGTCAACTTCCTCATCTCAGTAAGTGTACCATGGTAATGTACAATGTTAATTTAGGGGGTATAAGATGAATAGTCTTATACCTTATAATAATATAATAATTCATATAAATTAATAATTAAATAATTAAATAATTAAAATAAATAATATATAATATAATAGTCTTATACCTTATCCTGGTCTAAGGGA